GCGCTCTCTATTCGACCAAAATACGCTCACGTGACGTCACTTGCGCTGTATAAATAACACGACAAAACGGTCAATACACAGTCAAGTTTCAAAATTATTCTTCAAGTTCATCGCAGTCGAGTAACTTTTTCATGGAGACTACACCGCCTGCCTTGCGCCTATAAGCTGCCTCAATGCCACTTTAATGTCACACGATTCACGCTCGCACAGCGCCCGAGATGCGTCATTACGGCGTCCTGGCCAGGGCGCAGGGGTGTTGCGATTGTTTTGAGCATGTTCAAAGACCTTGAGCTGGAGACCATTAAGACCCTCTGGCGCCCATCTGGCGACCTATGTAGTTGTCGCTGCGATCTAGTAGTTGCTTTTGCGCCCCATCTATTTTTCAAGGACGCAGTGAGAGCGCATATCAGATCGCAGAAAGTGTGACAGGGCCTTTAGTGACATTGTTCAATAGCCGCACCTCCATAGCAAGCCTCCTCTCCGTCTTGAGCGTTGGATTTTGAAACTCCAGACATATAACTATTCAGTTGTGTATCGTCCCGGCAAACACAACCCGGCTTACTATATGTCCAGACACCCGCAGAGAGTGAGCCAGTCACCTTCAAGTGAACAAACAATCGCTGAAACACACGTCAACTTCATTGCAGATCACTCAGTGCCGAAACATGCCACACGCACTGAAATCGCTCATGCATCTACCCGTGGCGATCCAACCCTCCAACTCTGCATGACAGCTGTTGAACACGGTAACTGGAATAAACTCCTCGCTAACGCAGACAAATAGCTGAAAACCGTGCTGATCAGTTTCCACAATGTACGTGATGCGAACTCACAGTGTCTCAAGATCGCAAACTCCTCATGTGTGACCATCGCCTTGTCATACCTCAAGCACTCCGTAAGCGAATTGTCGATATATCGCGCACGAAGGACATCAGGGCATCACCAAAACAAAAGCTCTCCTCCGCAAAAAATGTCTGGTTTCCGTCCATCGATCGCATAGCTGAGGCAACAATCCGGGAATGTCTCCCCTGCCAAGCAAACACAATCGAACACACCACATCAGTACATGTATTGATTTTGCTGATCTCTGGAGAACATTTGCTTAATTGTAGTCACAGGTGACTATTCACGCTTCCCAGAGGTGGAAATCGTGTCGTCAACATCAGCCCAGCAGGGGATCCCCGAGCTTGATCGCATCTTCTCAAGTTTCGGTGTCCCAAACATCGTCCGCACAGACAATGGTCCGCCCTTCAATAGTCGTGCATTTTCCAACTTCGCCCAATATCTTGGATTCGACCATCGCAGAGTTATTCTCAAGTTTCGGTGTCCCAAACAACGTCCGCACAAAGAATGGTCCGCCCTTCAATAGTCGTAAATTTTCCAACTTAGCCCAATATATTGGATTCGACCATCGCAGAGTTACCCCCGTTGGCCCCAAGCAAACGGTGAAGTCGAATGGTTCATGACAACTCTCGAAAAGCATATCGCTCTGCATTCACCGAAAAAAACAACATGGAAACATAAACTGTACAAATTCCTTTGCAACTATCATGCAACACCTCATTCGACAACCGGTGTTTCACCTGCCAAACTTCTTTTCAGCAGATCATTCCAAACACGCTTACCCGAACCAGAGTTCACTCCATTGCCACAACACGCACCTGTCCAAGACCGCGATCAACGTAAGAAGTCCCAGATGAAAACCTATCGAACAATCGCGGTACTACTCGAGTCAAAGACATTGACATCGGTGACCATGATCTCGTCCGTCGTCATGGACATGTCCTTAAACACATGTCACCTTACATCCGCAGCCCGGGGACGCTCTATAGTCTGAAATACCATTGGTCCGAAGTCCCATTGGTCCAAAGTGCAATTGGTCCGAAGTGCCATTGGTCCGACGTCCCATTGGTCCGACGTCCCATTGGTCCGACGTCCCATTGGTCCGACGCCCCATTGGTCCGACGCCCCATTGGTCCGAAGTCCCATTGCTCTATACGTTCCATTGGTATACATGTCCCATTGGTCCGATGTTCCATTGGTCCGAAGTTCCATTGGTCCAAAGTCCCATTGGTCCGACACCCCATAGGATTATGGTTAGAGTTAGGGTTAGGATTAGGGTCAGTCAACCTGAACCAGTGGAACTACACAGTATTATGTTTCATCGGACCAATGGGACTTCGGACCAATGGGACTTCGGACTATCGAGACTCAACCCCGCAGCCCTACACCGTGACGAGTAAGCGTGGGTCCCTAATCACAGCTCAACGCAACACGCACACATTCACACGCAACTCATCCGACTTCAAGAAATACACTGGCCCGATACCACAACACCCTGACAGTGATGATGTAAGCGACATTGTCACCCCTTCCCAGGATACACCACCCCAGCCAAACCAGCCAAACCAGCCCCAACGTCGCAATCTACCCCGCCATCGTCAGCCACCCCCACACCTACTCTTACAGCATGAACAGAACTGACAAAGACTTATGCTGAGATCCGGACTTCAAATATTTTCTTTGGTTATGTTATACTCAGAATTTATTGTCACACACTCTCTATACATTTTGGCTTTATTGTTTTAATTATATTTTGAAACATGTTAAATTTATGCAAAGGAGCTGCTCAGTTCACATTAATCCCCACACTCAAAAAAAGGAGGAAAGGAAAGTATCCTAAAAGTGTTTTTCTTTTGTTAAAATGCTCGTTACTAAAGTTGTTTTGCTAAATTTGAAATAGTTGATTAAGACTGAGAGGAAACAATCTCCCTCCGAATGTTATTAATCAGTTTGGTTCTATAGCAGTTGACACAAAAAAAACAAAACTAAAGAACGGCTCTGGCACAGGAAGTATATTCCATGTGACAAAACCCATACTTTCTCATTTTTTTTTTTTTATAAACACACATGTTTAAAATATGACCCAATTATACCATTGCAAGACTTTAATTGCATTGTTGGACTTTTCGCAAGCAAGGTGAAAAGGGTTGTAATATTGTATCATTGGCACTCCATGCATATGTACCTGATGACATCATGGGTCACGGATTGACCTCCATTCAATTGTTGAATACACTTGGCAGTCTGTGTGGGTGATTGTGAGCTTGTCTTACATACGCAGTGTGGACTTCCGAACAAAAGACGTCCACATAATGTAGGTAGCACCGACGTTGTGTGGACTTGCCCCACGTCCACACAGTGTTTCCCCATTTCTGGAAAACAGGTTTAGAGGCATTTTTGGGTTAGGTTTATCTGTAGCAGAATGAAGAGAAACACTAAAGGGAATCATAGAAAAAAAATTGGGTTGAAAGAGTTTTCACAGTTTGAGAAAAATGAGTTTTTTCACTGGTTTTTCTTAACTACACGAAAGCAATGGAAAGTCCACACTAGTCATGTGAAACAAGTAGGGGTGTGTGTGTGTGTGTGTGTGTGTGTTCAATTTATCCCCAAACATTAGATACTACGTCCATAGTCCTTGCTCTATGCTACGTCTGAGGCTCTAGCGCAATATGTATAGTTTTGGGCTCGGAAAGGGCTGTGTCTCAGGCATACCGAGTCTCTAGGTATAACTCAGCAATATTTGTCTGTTCATTTACATCAGTAGTCTTCCATATACCCATCAACCTGGTCCGATGATGTGAATGGTCCTTACAATTTATCTTTGAGTTCATCCTTGAGTTCATTCCACTACACAATACTTCTGGTATAGTAAAGTTGTTACACCTGAGTATTCTCAAAAGGACATGGCTATCTTCACTTGATAAAGATTAACAGCTTTAGCTTTGACCATAATTATGTTGACTTGGGCTGGTGAAGCATAATTTTTTATCCACCTCATATTAACCATGCACCTGTTATCAAATGTTTCCAATCAATTAATGTTTCATTCTATGTTTGAGTAATCATTGAATTGCAAAATCTGTTACTTTTATTTTCTTAAAAGCGTAAACTTTGTCAACAGAATTTGATCAGCTGATCTCCTGCGTGGCACAAGTGGTCTTAAATATGTATAGTCTGGTACCTCAGTTACAATTTGGCTTTCTTAAGTACATTATAAGTCGGGAATGTCAAATGTCAGCTCAACTTACCATATAGAGCGCCCATCACCAAAAACTTGTAAAGGTGGGTTAGGTTAAACTTTGTTTTGTTTTTAAATGTTTGATTGTTGTTTCTAGTAGGCTACTACATATTTATTTTGAAGTGGGCAGAATATTAAAAAAAGTGAACACAAGTGAAATAGTGCTCACCCCTAATGTTAGAACGGAATGATAGTTGCTTGCATGGGCGTCGCCAGGATTTTTTTCTAGAGGGGGGCAAAACATATTTTTCCCCAAAAAAATCCTGTATTTCTCAACATATTCTCGATTTCTCAGTTTTAGAGGGGGGCAGGGACATTTTGCCCCCCCCCCCCCACTCATTAAATTTACACCACTATGACTTCGCGCCTAAGGTACAACTGAATCTGTTCTATGCCATCAGAAATGATGCATGTTTTAGAAAAGAAACATTTTTTTATTGCTATCCATTTGAATGCCGTTTGAAGCTTTTGAGCTAATTGAGCATTGAATGTTACACACAGGCATTTAAATACAAATGAAGGCGCTTTGAATGATTGAGTCAAGACTGAAACATTATTTTTACGTGTCAGAGTTTGTGTTTTGAATATAAGAAACAAGTCAACTCCCCCCCCCCCCAAAAAAAAGTAATAATAATAATTTCGGTGGTAATTTGTTTTTATCTTAGGGGTTCCAGGTCTTGTACATGCATTATGCTTTTTACCTGGATCCCTCGTATCATTTCTGTCATTCTTTATACATATTATTGTTAATTATGTGTGTCTGTGATATGATATGAAAAAAATAAACCATAAACCATAACCTTTCCAACCTCTGGCTACGCCATTGTATTCCATTGGAGGAATGACCTTGTTCTTACAATGGATTAGCTCCATTGGCGAAAATCGGCGTTGCCACAGTGCATAATAGGTGGCATGTATCGTCACCGAATCATATTTATGTAGATGTACTGCTATATAAACACAGACAGTTTGAATACGTGCATGCCGTTCTTCGAGCGTCGACCTAAGTCGTCTCGTTCGTTTATCTCTGCAAAATGAAAACTCCGTTTCGTACCTTCGTGTTGTTGGCGGCAGTCGTAATCGCGATGACGGCCGGGCTCGCATGGAAGCTGGACTTCGGTTTTGGTTCAGGTAACTCCTTTCAATATTGCTATTTTTTGCCCTCTGTGTTTTCCATTTTGTGTTTCTGTTTTTGACTATATCATAGACGTCAGATATGTATGTCCGTATGAGTATGTAAATGTTTTTGGGCAATGGGTGAAACAGTAGCACGTACCTGTCCATAATTGTGACTTTCTGTTTTAATTGACATGGAGTCAATTTTGTTAAACAACAACGGGTATAAATACATCTGTTAAGTCAGTTTCTGTTTCGAGTTATTAAAGCAGATGGGCGCTTGATCCGGTAAAAGAGTCATGCACCAATGGCGGTGATGCACTTGGCGGGAACATGTCTAGTGCATGGAGGGGGGGGGGTGTTCGGGTGGTTAACCAGCCCCTTTGTCGTGTGATCAATGTTATCATTCACATAACTTGCTTTTATCCCTTTTTGGGGGAGGGAGGCAAAATCGTTACTAGGTTTAAAGATCGTATAGGTATAAAAAAATAAAAAACTACATCAAATTATTCCGTCTGGCTAAAGGGTTGGGAAAAAAAATATATTTCGTGACGAAAATATCGTGTATGTTTTTTTTTTACTATTTACACGAAATGTGTAATGTGCACTGAGCTGAAACTTCAATAGGTTAGGTTGCCAACGTTCCTCCTTGGAATCTGAGTGGTATTATTGTAAACGAACAAAGTGCATGGCAAGAAAATGATCCTATATGCTTTGAAGTTTACTAAAACAAAGTCATATTACAAACTAGGCACCAGGCCTATTCATTACTTCACGCATGTCTACTGTGTTGAATTTAGCACCTCAACCCCCTAGAAAAACACTTCGATACACCCGCCCCTCCACCTCGATGAAAAATCCTGGATCCGCATCTGCTAATGATTCACTATCCAATACAAACATTACGTTCATGTTTTAGGGCAAACGCCCATTGAAAGTTATTTTATGACTGTGACCCAGTGGAAATAAATTTGCTTTTTTTTGTTGGCTATACCAGACGAAATTAACGGTCCCTTGTTTCTCTGTGATTTGCATTATGTGCAGTATACGTTGTTGATTCTATCTGAATACAAGTGCAATGAACAAAACAGGAAAGAAGGAAAAACGCAGTTTAATAGAAGGAATCTGTGGACGTTTTGATTGAAATACAATGTAAATGAAAGTGTTGGGCAAATACCAATGGGCAATGTTCTTTGCCCAACATTGTTGTGAAGTTACATTATTGCTGGTTCATTTGAATAAAACGTGACCAACTACTGGAAAGAAATTGCCAACGAGTGAATGCAGTTGGTATGTTGCCATCATTGGGCTACACATATACCAACCCATTTGACCAACTTTTTGAGTGTAATATAAGTTATAAGAGTAGTCAACAATAGCCCATTTATATTTCTATTAAAATACCTGTAAATGACATTAGTTAGAGTGCCTGTATTAATGGTAAGTCATGTGCAATCTGGCCTTTTGGCCACGACACGTGGGTTTGTCAGTACAGACAATAACTATAACGATTCGAGCTAAGCGTTCCACGGTAAGGCAGTACGGGGGAAACTTGCATGAGTAATACACCACCGTGTACGGATGAGAGCAGCGGGCACATCGTAGGCAGTATTGAAAAAAAAATGTAATTTTATGTCCGGAAAAAGACGATTTGTGCCAAGAGTATCGTATCCTTCAAACAGCCTGTTTTTGTTGTTTATACGCTAAATGTGTTTGACATAAATAGCGGGCAGAGACCATCGTAAATGAAAAGGCAGCCACCGGAGAAGCACTAGATGGAACGGTCGCGCCATGGCGGGTGCACCCCGTCAACGGGACGGGACAAGAGGTTGAGGGGCCCAGTGAGCAGGATGCCACAGCACTATACCGTTAAGCAAACATACGCAACGGCGGCAATTTCTTGTCAGCATTTAGGAAACAACTAGACAATTCGAAAATGGGGGTAGAGGACGTGGGTGATGTTCAAATATGCATGTATGTATTTGCGATACGCGTTTTTACGCCTATTCCTCGCAGTAATGTACTGTTGAATTTACGTGAAATGGTGTTACGCAGTAGAAAAATACATGTATTTATTTAAGTTACATTGGTATAAAAAAATACAATAATTGTTGCCTGTTGTGAAAGGGTCCATGGTGTTTTGTACACCCGAGGGTGTACAAAATACCCATGGACCCCAATCACTGCAGGCAACAATTGTTTATACCACGATTGCAACCGTGTTAGTTGTGTGTTTCCGCCAGTTGCCGTGCAGTAATCGCGGAAGTATTTGTTTTGAAAAGATCCGCGAGAACTGCACCGTATATATTCACACAGATTTCTTTTCATTGCACACGGGTGGCGAAGCAACTACAAGGTCTTTTCTAACTTTAGGTGTTGAATTATTCGCCGCTCCGTGTAAGAATGCCGGTTAAAAAATATAAAGTCGACGGCCTTGGCAAAAGGCTACATCGCGGTAGGCCTACTGTTGGTACAATACTTGCGGTTGACATCATAGTACAGGTACATTGTGTTGTCGTGACTGCCACGTTGGCTCCTTATACAGTGTCCACGCAAAATAATATACAGTATTGCATTCAGATGATTTCGAGCGGAACGTTATTTTTGCTATAATTTGCATGACTAAAGCTTACAGCTTGCAAGTTATGGCACTGTCACACAGTTGAAAATAGAGCTAACCTGTGCCCGACGTTTTTGGAAATTTGGGTTGTACGTTCGTGTAAGTTCGTCACCGTTTTAACGAACAGCCACTACCAGTGGCGTACTCAGGATTTTTGCAAGGGGGTGTTTCAAAATTGGATGTCATCATTTATGACGCTAGAAATGAAGATGGTGAATTGTGTTGGCGCCAGAAATAAAAGATAGTATCAGTGGGCTAAACTTAACGCTAAAATAAAAGTCGCGAGTTTGTGTTGGCGCCAGAAATAAAAGAGGTATATTTCGACTCCGTTTGACACTATACATAAAAGTCAGGAGATCAAGTAAGAATCCATGTTTGTTTTTTACACTTAAATTGGAACGTTCCCATTTTTAGGTCCTAAAATAAAAGAAAAAAGGGGATCAGATTAAAACGGAACAGTCGGCAGGTATGGACTATTAATATGAACTACCTCGAAAACGTTTGAAGGTCGTTAACTTAAGTTAGTAGATACCTTTATGAAAGGCGGAAATTTAACCTTCTGGGTGTCTCTTCCGCGAGGAGGTGAAGAATCTCGTCCGTATTGATCTCTGTCTCACGGTGAATGTTAAGCATTGCCAAGCCATCATCCACTGTGCCCTTATTACATTACAGATTTACAGTATCAACACATCTACACTGAAAGGCATATTATGATTTGACTAGACAAACGTGGACTTGTATGGATGTTGGTTTGTAAGTGGGTAATTCCATGAACATTTTACGAAATGCCAATTTTCAAGATTAGTTTAGCTGCAAATCTCCAGTTGTTTTCAACTATATGCAGGACCAGGTTCGCACTCGCTAATCAACTTACAAATCATAAATGCAGAATAAACTAAAATTGTCACACTCGATGTATAAGTTCAAGTTTCTTTAATTAATTGAGTATAAGAGGTTAAAAATGTCTGCCTGCATGTTACTTTGCACTTGCCTAGCCAGAGTTTGTACTTTTGGAATAGGGGCATCAAAAGCAAATCTGCCAAGAACTGAACATTTCCAGATGAATTATCAGATTTTCCAACAAAATTGCCGCCAAACACTGTTACTTTGGGGCTTTTGGCCGACAAGAGTGAAAAAAGGGGTAGGCGGAACAATCTTCTAATTTACCGACAGATTTCAAATGCCCCCCCCCACCCACCCGCATTGGCTATGTTATAGCATTTGTACTTGGTGTTTTAATTATCTCATAGAGTTATGTATACTAATTAGCCTTCCTATAAATAGCTGAAATAGCTCTGTGGTTTATCTCTATAGTCTATCTCTCTGTGAAAAAAATGAACAGGACCCATGACATACGCCATGAGTATGACTATGTATAGGCCTACAATGAACAAGCCTTTTTTCTACTAAATTCTACATCTAAATTGTATAAAAAATGATATCGATAATGATGCTGATAAGAGATATCATCCCTACTTTTCAGCTCCTTTATACTTGTGAGTAGAACAAGTTGCAAAATGAAGTTTGCAACTTCACGCATATCGTACGCCCTATTGGAGTGCTTTACAGCCTTTACTTGTCTAGACTATAAAGAGTCGATCTAGACTACGCCGTATCAGATCGCCGTTTACTGTGCACTATTATCAGCTGTAGTATAGGCTAGTAAGGCTACTGTCGACACGTACTGTGCATTGTCCGTAAGTCATAACCGTGACTTGTTGACGATTTTGATTGCAAATTTGTTACAAATAGGATTGTAGAGAGAGTGACTGGCTTTCTTAATATGATTCCTACCTGTTTAGTCTTAAGAAACAAGAAATACAGATTGATTGTTATACAGTCTAGTCGATTAACAGGGGCGGATCCAGACTGCCATTTGCCGGGGGGGGGGGGCTAGAATTGTAATGAAGGGTCCAGGACCTGCGAGCGCGCAGCGCGAAGCCCTTACGGCGTGGGGTCCGGGGCCCGCTTAAGGGCCCCGAAAAAAATCGGCTTTTAGATGCTTTGTGGTGCAATCTGAGGCGATTCCTGACCACTTCCACCGTTTAGAAAAACGTTTTAAAAATCGAAAATTCCATTTAAATGTGTTATGTTTTTCTATATAAAGTTCTTTAGAAAGTTTGTTATGTACTCAAAGTTGAGAACCATGTTCCATCTCCGTATTGTTTCACAACTTTTTTATTTGGAAAGGGATTTAGGCCTCTTGTAGTCCGAGCCTCAGCCATTCGCTGCTGAAGGTACAAAAAAGGTGGGGGGGGGGGGGCACCGCTAGGGTGAAATTATAGCATAGAGGAAATTTGGCCGGAGGACTAATGCGAGCGCGGACCTCAAAGCACTTACGGCAATGGGGTTGTAGATGCTCTGTGGTGCAATCTGAGGCGTTTCCTGGCCATGC